AAGAAGTAGAAGAATTTGTTTATAATTTTTACATTTTATTATGTTTTTATTGATTTGGATGTTAATGTATTTTATAGTTATTATTTTTATTTGATGTTAAAATATTTTTATATTATCTTATATATTTAATAATGTTAAAAACTAATCAATCCGACCGAACTACATCAATCCGATTTAAATTGGATTGATTTAATTATTATATAATAATAAATTGAATTGATTTAAAAATTTTATTAACCGATTAAATTAGATTAATTTAAAAAATAATAAAATTAGAACCAAATCACATTGCGAACCCCATAATGTAAGGGAACGCAACAAGCTTTGCCCTCATCCCGCAACCAAAACTGGATCCTAAGAATCAGACGGCTTCCAACCGGTAAGGTAAAGAGCAATGAAAGACAGGTAATTTTCTTTATAATTTTTTTAATAATTTTTATGTATTATTAAATAAGTAAATATATTTAATATTATGAATTTTAAATAAATAAATAAAATTAATTATTTAAATTATACATAAAATTATATTAAAAAATAATAAAAAATTGTTAATAAATCATTTCCTCAAGGTAAATTTATCTTTTATATTATTTTAGTATGAGTTAAAATGATCCCGTGGTCTCCCTTACTCCAATTTACAAACTTAGGTTTTTAGTACCACAAAAGATGCGTCTAACGTATGAATTGAGATTGAGAAGGGGAGACACAGTTAATATTATCTTTCTCTGCGTTTCCTTTACTTCCTCGCACACTCTTTTGTCTAGACTAAATTCTGCTCCTGAAAACAACGAACCATAAGGTAGTGTCTTTTCTGTTCGTGCTCTCCTTTTCTTTTCAATCTTATTTGTTAACAATCTCTAATTTGTATATTTGTGTGGTATATTTTGCATATAATTATTTCATTAGAAAATGAAGAAGAAAAAGATGCAAAGGAGTTTTTGTTATAATTTGAATTGACGAAATTGGGAAGTAGAAAGGTAATTTAATATTACAATTATTGTCTAAATTTGCTTATTGTCATTTTAATTATTTGTGCTTTTTGCAATAAGCTTAACTCCATTCTACAGATATCTTTAGGCTGTTGATCGAGACATTTAAGCTTAGTCTTGAAATAGATCTTCTTTAAACTAAAGGCATTCTATTGTTTATTAAAGATAGCCTTTTGGTCTGACAAGGAAAGGTGTTGATTGTGTTGTTGCAGAAAACCTTTAAGGCCTTCCTTGCTCGGATCTTCTCGTCCAATAAACTTGCAAAGCCTTGAGGGTGGCTCTAGGAGTAGACACTCTAATATTTGAGTTAGCAATAGTCTACACCTAGAGCTCTTTTTAGAGAGAGAGTAGAGTATAATAGAGAGAGAAGTGCTCCAAGAAGAGTCCCGTACCTTTGAGGAGTGTGAGGGTATTTATAAATCTCTTGAGAATGCTGGATATGTGTTGCACTTCTGTTAGTCCTTTTGAATCTATTTGAATATATATGAGCTCCATAATAATTCATGCATGTGCTTTTTTGTATTTGGACCTCATGGGCCTTTACTATGTTTATGGGTTAGTTATATTACTATCCTTACATATTGTTATTTGGTATTTGATATTTGAATTTGTGCTTTTTGGGATAGCTGCTCGATCCAAGTGATAGGGAGGACTTATGCGGGCACAAAATAAAAATTAGTTTGTGATATTTGAATTTGAGTTTAGGAGAAAAAAAAAATACTCAATTTAGGTGATAGTTGAGCCAATCAGACGGGGAAAGGTGTCTGCAATTAGAAATCATATATGCAGTAGATTGATAGTAAGACTATGAACGGTTTCTTTTTATTCTTGTAGGTTCAGGGGTTGACAATGGCAAGGTTAATCCCATAGAAGGAGAATAAGGCATACACGGGATATAATGCTGAAACATGGGGTCGCAACAATATATAACATTTTTCGACTATTGTACAGGGAACAAGAAGTTTGTTGGCTACGCTGCTGGTGAAGTCTTCGGGTGGGCATTATCTTTACAGAGAATGGAGGTAGGTGAAGGAGAAATCTTTGAGATTGTTTAATTGACTAGAAAAGTTGAGCAAGTACCTATAGTGAGTGAAAACAGGGGACCCATTTTGGACTGACATGCTTAGCATCACAACCATGGTTTCAGCTTTCTTGACTCCAAATTCATCTTTGGTTGATGTGAGTGCAAATGAGATTTATATATAGCAATTTAGGATTTGAAGGAATATTATATTGAAGGGAATAAGCTGTGGCTGGATGCCAGATAAAGAAGGTACAGATGTGATATTTCACTTGGAATTCAGCCTAGTTGCTAGCTTGACGGACAATGGAGAAGAACAAGGAAACTCCTCCATTCCGTCCTCTTATGGAATGCAAGAGGTACTATAAAAGCAATTTTTTGGGAAATTGTCCAGATACTACACTATAGAACATTGCTTGATATGTTAATTATATTCAATACGAGGGTTTCAGAGCAGCGAGTTATTCTAGTAAGGGATAATTGAGTGCAATTTGATGGGGAGTTTATTGCACCAGTTTGTAACAAGACAAGGGGAATCTTGTGTCATGTGTTAGTGGGGAAATAGATGAAATTGCATATATCTTTGTATTGGTGGCGCCAAGAAGGTATGGGGGTGCTACATTATCCAACAATACATGAAGTGGTGGACATACATAACTTTTTTTGGCCAACCAAGGGTTCTTCCTATTGTGCAATGGATCTAGATATCTTTATTCATGCTTGTTGGATAATGTAGCACCCCCATACCTTCTTGGTGCCACCGATACAGAGATATATGCAATTTCATCTCTTTCCCCACTAACACATGCCAGATTCACTCTTCTACTATATCACAAACACATAACTCCCCCTGTGTTGTTACAAACTGGTACAATAAACTCCCCATCAAATTGCATGAAGTGGTGGACGTACATAACTTTTTTTGGCTAACCAAGGGTTCTTCCTATTGTGCAATGGGTCTAGATATCTTTCTTCTTGCTTCCACTCGAATTGTGTTATAATTATCTTAATAGCTAAGGTATTATTTCAAATATATTCTTTCCTAACTCCAATCTAAACATTAGGATCATCATTCTTTAATGCTTATGTAAATCTTAGGAGTATCATTATTCTTAACTCCGAGTAACTTTAGGAGCACTATCATTCTTTACCCCAAGCTACTCTAGGAGTTCATTACATTCTTGTTAGATAAGGTATCATAGTGTTGTTATGTAGAATGTAAATTGATGCATCTTTATGTACATAATATATCTATCATACTTATATAATTTATATGAAACATTGGATATATATATAACCAATCCAATTTTCACTCTTTCTTTAGCATAGCTTAGATAATTGCAAAACTAAAGGCAAAAGGTAATGCTGGACATAAATATAAGTAAGATAATTATGATATAACTTATAACACAATTTCAATCTTTATTAAGCACAAGAAGAGCACAGAATAATAGCCAATACTTCACATATCCTTACGTAATTATTCAATAACTCATAATTTTTTGGAAGTAACACTTAATTATATAGTGTAAAAACGAAGCATAATTTAATGTTTACAATATCATTTGACAAACTAAGATTACCATTTTTTTTTTTTTTTACCTTAAACTGTTAAGGTATGCATGCATGTTGATCTCTGTTGTCATAATTATCTATGACTAATTGATCTATAGTTTTAGGACTTTGTTTTTCCTAGTAGAAAGCAAGGAGATGTACATTTCATTTAATTAATTTCAATAAAAACATATCACACAAATCTTTCTAACTTAAAATAATGTAAAAAAAACTCAAAAAATTAAATTAGCCAATATTTGGAGTTGGAATGGATGAGGACGAAAGGGAAGACCTAAAAATAATTTAATAAAGTATTAAATTTCAAATATAAATTTAAAATAAGTCAGAAAACACTTGAAAATGGGAGTGAAGGCCTAAAAAAATTAAATTTAAAAAAAAGTCTAAAAAATTCTGTTATATTCAGCCTGGTATTGGGTTTTCAATTTTTGGACCTTAATAACCAAAACTCGTCCGATTGAGATTCACTTATAATTAAAATTTGGTTAAAAAAAAATGAAACTCATACCCATTCAAACCTAACTCACCAACTATAATTTTAGTTGATTTTATTTTTTTTTTCAATTACGAATTTTTCTATTCACCCTACCGTAAATTGGAGCAATGGAAATCGTAGGATAAAATATAAAATTATTTTGATCGTTTGATTGATCATTTCTTCATCTCACAAAGAGAAAAAAAAAAAAAAAAACTGAATATACCTCTGAACTTTGCCTTCAATGTTCAATCAATCTGAAATCTCAGTGGGGCCGAAAAACGGTGTATTGGGTGTGTAGCCCATTGAGTGAAAACGACTAAACACTTCTGCCTTTTTTTTCCTTTTTCTCCCTGTTGGGTTGAAGTGTCACAGCAAGATTTTGCGAGATATACTACTCTAGATTCACATGGAGGGACAGGCAATTTGTCTGAGGTTGTCAGGTTTTTCTTGGATCCAATTGGAGTGGTTCTTCAAATTAACTTAGGTTTAACAATGTCATAGTTCCTCTACTTGTTAAGTATACATTCAACTCAGACCAGAATACAAAGCTTCAAATCCCAACCTCGCCTTCCCCGCCCCACCCTCTGTTGAAATAATCAAACGTTTTGAAAGAATAAAAAAAATTATATAATTTAAATTATTAAATAAAAATAATTTTTAATGTTATAAATAATTTTTATATTTAATTATTTTTATTTTATAATTTAATATAATATAAATTACAAAATAAAACTAAAGAACCATCACCTAATTCTACAAAATTGATTGAAATTCTACCATCCACATACGATACATGTAATGTTTAAGAATCTCTTTTACCACACATCATGCATCACTGACACGACTTTCTCCCCCGTTGCTTGCTCCATGCCCTGTGAACAAAATTGATTTATATTAATCATAATATTTGCATGTAAGGGAAAAAAATAATAATAAGGTGATAATGAAAACTTCTGTTCATCTTTACTCTCGTGAACGAATTCAGAAGCACCAGAAGTGCCTTTGATTTCGATAACATTGTCCTCTTCAACCTCTCGCTAGATTCCTCACGCTTCAATATATGGATGTGTGCTTGTTTGAATTGACTTGTCTAGTTGTCTTGTTGTGGCGTGGAAGGGTGGACTGAAAAAAAATCCTGTTTCTGTATGTAAGAACTATAATTTTGTTTGTTCTATTATCAGAAGCTTTTCGGAGATTCGATCGGGTTTGTCAGTGAAGTACAATAATTCAATCAAATAGTGTTTTTTTTCATGTTGGATTGTTGTTATAAATTTATCAAAATATTTTTAAATAAATTTTTTATGTTATTTTATTAATAATATTTTAATCATTTTAATATTTAAATTATTCTCTTAAAATGTATTCTAAACTAAAAATATTCAATTACAATGGGAGGATACTGTGTATTTGACACACCGCACATATTTAACCCATGATCAGTGAGATTCGTCACTAACCTTACAAGAATTCTTCTGATTATAGAAATATTGTTTTGTAATTCATAGTATAAAATGAACTGCATGATATTTTTTCATTATAATAATATCTCTACTTATAAATTTAAAGTGTAGTTTTGTCTACTAACTCATTTTATTAAAGTCATTAAAATTATATTTAATTTAATTGATATTTATAGTTTTTTTTAAATAAACAAT